CTTCTACTTCTTTTACTTTATATGAGTGTTTTGCCTATTAGTTCAATATATATTTATATAAGTATTAGTATTAAATAATAAAATATGTTTAATTAATAAAAAAAAACTTTTAAAAAGAGAACAAAATAAGAAATATATTTGATAAGAAAATTAATTATTATACAAATTCTAAGAGATAAAATTAAAGCTTGTAAAAATATTCTTGCGTTCATACTTATAAATATTAAAAGAAGAAAATTCTAAGAACAATATGTGTTTTTATAACTCAGACAATTAAGGGTTTATCTAGACAAACTTTTATAACTGCATAAGCTTATGCGTAAGTTGTCGGATTAGGTTATTTTCTTATGCATTTTTTTATAAACCAATTCATTTCCTTATGTATACACTTATTGGTATTTATGTTTGTCTGAATAAACCTTAAAAGTTAGGTTGTTAGTTTAACAAACGTGCAAACATAATTACAACAAATGTTTGACAACTCACAAACCACACTTCATGCAAAGTCATACATTTTTTTATACTTACTGTTTTGAGTTGCATGTTTGATTCAAAGTACAATGTTTTGTGGTGTAATGTGGATTCCTTGCAAGTCTAGAAATTTTTTATACAAAAATTATACAAAAAATATTTTTGTCTTTTTAGTATATTTATTATTTATTTTTTATAATATATTATAGTTTTTGTTGTATGTATTAATATTTGTTAAATTGTAATTAATATTTGTTGTCATCATGTAATTAATATTGTTAATATTGTGCGTTTCTTTTACATTATCTTATAATTTAGTTTGGTTTTCTAAATTATAATCCACATTTTAATACAAAACAATAAAGCTATTGTAATAGTATAAATATAATGCTAAATCTGTAATATAACATTCTTATCTTATATTCTATTTAAATTTTAAACATTTGTGTTTGATGCGTAGAATATATTCTGTATTCGCAAAATTTGTCGCTCATGTACATTTTTTTTCTTTTTTTGTGAGAACTTTATGCAGATTTATACAGAATTTTAATAATTATGAATTTCACTGAAGTCTCGAAATTTAAAACGGAATAATGCCAAATATTTTTTGCTTTAATAAAAAAAACTCTCTTATAAAACTAAATTATAGCAGAGAATATATATATGCTTTTAGTTGAAAAAAATGATACATGAGAGACAGATTTCGCGCTCTTAGAATATATATTTTACGTATCAAAAATATACAATATCACGTACATAATATTATGTACACAAGTTCTTACAATTTAAACAAAATTGGAAGTAAGATATATTTAAAGAGCCGTCTACAATGGAGAGTTGTAGGCCGTAATAGTAAGAAATTGACCAATCACAGGCAAAGTACAGAAGAATAATCGATTGTGATTTGTCAGTTTCTTACTATTACGGCCTACAACTCTCCATTGTAGACGGCTCTTAAGAAATGATTAAGAAGTGATTTTTTAATTTAGAGGTGAGAGCATTATATTGCAGATTTCCCAATAATAGTATAAATATTTGGGTACAGTTCCGAAAACCTGAAACACCCGATTTTTCTGCCGATTGATATACTGTATTTTGGTGCGCTGATTACGAATATGATAGTGAAAATCATCGACAATGCTTATGCTAATAATTTTTATGCTTTTTAAAGCCAAATCAATCGGAACATTAGTATACAAGATATCACGTCCAAAGACAAAAGAATGTGTCCGCGCTGCAGATCAATTTTATTAATTTTGTTCACAAAATCTGAACTATTACTAATATGGCTCTTGGCAGTAGGAATGTTTGTGTACAAAATTTTGTGTAGAAATTCCGCAAATGAATGTAAAGGACTGCCAATAGAAGACACGATTATTCTGTAAGGATTACCTGGCTTATGGATTTTAGGAATTCCATACGCTCTCGGAAGATTGCCATCACTCGATCTCATCATTTTAAAACTCAGATCACTAATTACTCTTTTGAAACCCATTTTTTTAAAAACCGTTTAAAGCGTCCTCCATAGATTTAATGGGATTCTTTTTAATTTTTATATATGTGGAGGTATCATCAAGCATATTATTGATCTTCTGAATGTAATCGTGTTTGTCTACAGCGACTGTCACACTGCCCTTGTCAGCACGTGTAAAGACAATTTCTGGGTGATGCTTTTATTAAAGACGATATTTTTAACATATATGTTGACCCATCAAATTTTACTAATTTTTTTTGGAAAATTTTGACCTGTTTATATCTGATTAACAAAATTTGATGAACTTTATCCAAATATTTCACGTGTAAAAATAATATTTTCAAAAGACATGTACATATACATTTTCCAACAAAACTGTGTTAATAATACTTACATTTAAGTGTTTTGACTTGAGAGATGATTGCTTATGATTGGGTCATACTTTTGAAACCGTAGCAGTTTTAAAGAATAGTCCTATCACAAGTGATGATCTCTCAACCAATCTGCAATTGTTGAGTTTCTTGAACATAACTATTGTTATCTCTGGCTGTGTTCCGAAATCGACTGATAATGTGCCAGTAAGAGAAAGAGTACATTTCATTTGATGATTGCAACGCTTATGCGTTATCTATCTTTGTTTAACTTTCGATGAAAAACAAGAATGAAATAATTCCATGAGCGTTGTGATCATCAAGTGATATCTTATAATACACGTGATGCGGATTATAGATTTCTAGTACAGACAACCTAAGTTGTGTTAGCAGTAAAATTCTCGATTTCTCTTTCTCTCTATATACGTCTCCAATAAAAGAAAATTATAGCAAGTAAAATGTACACGAAAAATGTAACGATAAAAGTAACTGTTAAATTCGTTACTCGTTACAAAAAAAATTTGTAAGTTACTTTTTTTGGTAACTGTAACGGTAACGACGTTACAACTAACGCGTTACTTTTCAACCTTGATTTTACTACTTTTGTGTAAAAATCTATTATAAACACTATGCGGAATATGTCACAAAAATGAGAAAATAGTGAATACAGTACAACTCTTCTCTCTTAGTTCCTACGGTAATTATTATAGAGAATTACGGTCCGATAACCTTGACTTTGACATATGTTGTAGACAGTACTGTTTTGAGTAGTGTTCAGAATGTTTTTAGGCGTCGCTCATTTTTTATTGACAAAATATTCATAAAAAATGTAATCACAAAAATGACCGTTAACCTTTAGAGGGCCGGGAAACCAATATTTTGGCGCACCAGAATAACTTGTTCAATTTTTTTTTTTTTTAAGAAATTGAACAAGTTATTCTGGTGCGCCAAAAAAACATAAAATTGAATAAAAAATAAAAAAATAAAAAAAATAAAAAATAAAATAAAAAAATAAAAAATAAAACAAAATAAAACAAAAAATAAAAAAAATAAAAAAACAAAAAAAAAATAAAAAAAAACAATTCTGCCACAGATAGTTCCAAGCCCGTGTTCAAAAAAGAAGAGGGTGTTTCGAAATTATACGTGATGAAAGGGGTAGTTTTTGTAATATTATAGGGGTTATGTCCAGGTGTATTGTGTTTTTGACATTGGATTTTGATTCTACATCAAAAAATATATAAAAAAACATATATCTGCACTTCCAACTAAAAAAAATTACAATTGCGTGATAGAAAGGGTAGTTTTTGTAATTTTATAGGGGTTGTTTTCAGGTTTATTGTATTTTTGACATCAGATTTGGATTCTACGTCAAAAGATACATCGGAAACGCATATTTATACTTCCAAATTGATGTAAAAGAAATTTTATATGCGGGCCGATCCCTTCCGGACCAGAAAGCCAATATATTGGCGCTACCCATGATCGACACTTAGTGTATGGTCAATCCATGATATAAGATACCTTTTTTACCACTTTATTAAGGCGGATATGCCCTCTCAAATCCCGGCCCTCTAAAGGTTAAAAACCATCAAAAGTTGTAAATTTGTTCGTGTTGTAAGCGTGTAGGCTTCGTCCTTTCCTGCTTACACGCTTACAACACGAACAAAAAGAACATAAACGAATAGTCTAAGAGCTGGCTACATAACTTTTTATGTGACTCGGTACAGTCCTAATTTTTACTAGAAAATGTTCAATTACTATCGATAAAAATAAAACTCGCTTGTCCGAAGTCGCTCTGGAAGACAAAAGTGAAAATAGGCGGAAAATTATGAAAATGATTAAGGAAATAATTGTAATTGGGTACAGTCACGAAAATTTGTACAAACATAATAAATTATGTTGGAAAACAAAAAACAAATCGTCAGAAGTGTAGGTAGAAAAGAAAACACCGTCAGAAGCCGTAAACTTTTGTACGTTTATTGAAAACCAATATACAATAAAAAACAATATTGAATAAATATATAACTACTACAAGGGACTTCCGTTACGCGGTGTAACGTTTAGCTGTAGAAAGCGCAAGTTTGGGATAATGATTTTTTTGTGTATAAGAGGGTGTTAAAGAGAGAGAAATTGAGAGAGTGAAGGTGGTCTGTGGAGGCGTGAGTGAAAGAGTGGAGATAATGGGTGGGGCGAGGAGGAGGGAAAGGATGACGAGCTGAATCGTAGGAGTGAGGTTGTGAGGTTAGGTGTGGAGTGGTGTGGTAAGTTGGAGCGTACGAAGCATCTGGAGCAAAGGGAATAGAAGGTGCAGAAAGTGCAGTTGGTGTAGAAAGGGCTAGGTGAGTTCAAAGATTGGGACAGAGGTGAGGGCTGGTTGGAAATTCTGGTTAGTGGTGTCTTAGGAATGGCGGAGGAAGAGGGGAGAAAGAAAAATGCGGCAGAGAGATTTATGGAGACGGAGGGGAGGGGGAGAGAGAGATCTGCGAGCGTGAACTCGGTGTTGGAGAAATGGTTAAAGAGGAAGAGGAAAGGGGAGGAGGAGGAAGAGGAGAGTGGAAGAGAGGAAGGGTGGGCATTTAGGAGTAGTAAGAAGGTATTAAGATCGCCGGGGGAGGGAAGGAGAAGTAGAGTGGAAAAAATGAAGAAGAGGGGGGAATTAGTGAAATGGAGACAGAGAGGAGAGAATGGTGGGAAGAGATATGAGGAGGGAAATGGAGGACTTCAGGAAAGTGGCGGAAAGGATGGGCAAGGAGATAGAGGAATGGAAGAAGGAAGGGCAGAGATGGAAGAAAGAGAAGGAGAATCTAATAAGGAAAGTGAAAATACTAGAAAGTAGGATGGCGGAGAAGGGAGTAGTGGCAAAGGAGAGTAAAAAGAAGGAGAAAAGGGAAGGGGAAGGAAGTCTTGAGGGGAGAGTGGTGGTTATAGAGAGGGAGATAGAGATGAGGGAAAGAGTAGAAAGGAAAAGAAGAAATTTGATAATCAAGGGAGTAAAGAAGGAGAAAGGGGATATAAGATGGGAGGTTGAGAAAGTATTTAAAGAGATTAGAGCTGTAGTTAAAGTGGAGGAAATAAGAAGATTGAACGGAGGTAGTGAGGATAAAGGGGAGATGGTGTGGGTGAGGGTGGAAAAAAGAGGTCAAAAGGAGAATTTGGGAAAAGAAAAAGAATTTAAAAGGTGGAAGAGTATGGATTGACGAGGATTTAACTTGGAGGGAAAGGGAAGTGAGAAAGAAGCTGAGAGAGGTAGCTATGGAGGAAAGGAGTAAGGGAAAAAATGTCTGGGTAGATGGGGATAGGATAAGAATTGAAGGTGAATGGTGGAGGTGGGAGAAGGATAAGGGGAAAGTTAGGTAAGGTCTTCGGGAGGGGGATTAGAGGTCAGGGAAACGGGAGAAGGGTGTGGGGGGAAAAGATAGAAATAGGGAAGGGATAGAAGAGGAAGAGGATAGTAGAGATAAGAAGGGGGACGAAAAGGGAAGAAGGGAGGTTAATTTTGGGTTCTACAAGGTCGCATTCTGGAACGTGGCGGGTTTGAAGAGGAAGGACAGGAAATTTTGGGAAGATTTAAAGGAAGGGGATGTATTGGTTCTGATGGAAACATGGGTGGATAAAAAGGATGGGATAAGTTGAAGGGGTGTCTATCTAAAGGATATAACTGGGATATACAGTTTGCAGGGAGAAAAAGTAAGAAAGGGAGGGCGATAGGGGGCATGGTAGTAGGGAGTAAAAAAGGAATTGAGGTTAGGAGGGAAGATATGTGGGAGGATAAAGAAGGAATTATGATAAGGAGGGTTAGAATAGGGGAGAATTGGTAAAGGATAATAGGGGTATATGTGGGAGGGAGTGTGTATAAATGTTTGGAGGATTTGAGGAGATGGATGGAAGGAAAGGAGGAGGATATAAGGATAATATTGGGGGGGGGGTTCAATGCAAGGGCGGGGAGGAGAGGAGGAGAAGTAAAAGATGTGACCAAGGAGGGGGAAGATAGGGTAAGAGAATCGAAATATGGGAAGGTGAATAAGGAAGGTAGAATTTTAATAGAAAGAATAGAGGAATTGGGATGGAGTGGGATATTAAAGGGGATGAAGAGGGGGAGTGAACATATGTAGGGGGAAGGGGGGAATCAGTTATTGATTATGTGATAGGGGAAGCAAGGGTGAAGGAAGAGATCGAAAGGATGGAGGTATTGGAGAGAGTGGATTTAGATCATCTACCATTAGTGCTATGGATAAGGAAGAATAGAAAGGAAGGAAAGATAGAGAGGAAAGGCAAAAGAATGGGGAGGAAGATAGTGTGGTCTATAGAAAGGGGAAGGAGATTGGAGGATGAAATGTAGGAATGGGAAGGAAAGGAGGAGGAGGTGAATATAGAATGAGAGGAGATGAAGAAAAGAGTGGACAGAATCTGTGGAAAGGTATTGAGTGGGGGAGAAAGTGGAGGTAAGAAGGGATAGTGGAATGAGGAGTGGAAAGAGGATGGTAAAGAGAAGGCATTAAGGAACTGGAGGGCAGGGGAAAGAAACATAGAGGGGTATAAGGAGGAGAAAAGAAGATACAGGGAGTTGTGTGATAGAAAGAAAAAGGAGGAGAACGATAGATGGGAGAAGGTAGCCAGAGAGGTTAAAACTGAAAACCAAGTGTGGGAAGTGATAAGAAGAGAGAAAGGGAGGAAAAAAGGGAGGGTAGAGGAGATAGGCTTGGAGAAGTGGGAGGATTATTTCAGAAGTCAGTTGGGGGAGGGTAGAATGGAAGGTAGTGCAAGGGAATAGGGAGGGATTGGAGGAAGATGGAGAAGAGGATATAAGATTCGAGGAAATTAACAGGGCTTTGAAAAAGCTGAAGGATGGGAAGGCTGTGGGAAGTGATGGAGTGCCAGCGGAGATTTGGAAGTATGGGAAGGAAAAGGTAAAGAGGTGGATATGGGGATTGTGTACGAGGATTTGGAGAAGGGAAGGATGGATTAAGGAATGGGATGAAGGAATAATAGTGCCTGTTCTAAAGAAGGGAAAGGATAAAAGAATTGAAGAGTATAAAGGGATTACACTGGCGGGAACATTATACAAGGTATATGCGGAAGTGTTAGCAGAGAGGATGAGGGTAGATATAGAGGGAAGAAAGTTGTTGACAGAAAACCAGGCAGGGTTCAGGAAGGGAAGAGGGACAATAGATAATATATATATATTGAATTCTCTGGTTAATAGGAATATAAGCAAAAAGGAAGGTAAGTTAATTGCTTTTTTCGTGGACCTTAGAGCAGCGTTTGATACAGTGGATAGAGGGATATTGATGAGAGTATTAGGAGAGAGGGGATTGAGGGAAGGGTTAATAAGGAGATGTGGTGAGATTGATTGATTGATCTTTATTTAGCTTTCTCAGCTATTTTAAATACAGTTTTAACAAACATTTGCTATAACATATGTTTTTAACATTCTTTTAAATGATTCGAGTCTTTCTTCACTTTTTATTTT